TATAATGTGCCACATTAAAAAACAACAACATTGCCTTTGACACGGTTGTAGGGGAAGGAGTGGCAGAGTCAAGAGAGGGGTTAGCCTAGAATCCCTAAGTAGTCACAAGCGAATGAAACCCAACCTCCTTTGAACTCTGTTGACCCTTATCTAACGCCAAGTAGATGCTAACCTTTAGTTGAGAAGATTCCTGTCCCTAGGCCTGAGTAGCAATAGATAAGTTTAATTGGACCTTCACGAGTGACAGACGGGGGCATAGTTTTGGATGTCCTTCATAGCCCATCACAACTGATTTCTCAGCAGCCACTTCCTATTCTAGCCCATCGCCCATGTCTGAAGAATTGTGGTTCTTCATAGGACAGTGATAGGGAAAAGCAGAAAAAAAAACCAGGCATTTCAGGAAGGCTGAAACACCAGGGTTGTGTTTTTGCATTTAATTTCTTTCTCTCATTTTTAATGGTGGTTGAGAGCTACCCAGAGTTGTGTTTTTCAGAGGGGCAACTACGTAAACCTAATAAACAAACAAACAAATTAATTAATAAAATACATAAACAATAAATACATAAACAATAAATAAATAAACCCTTAGAATTGTTGCTGATATGCCTCAACAGTTCAATGTGACTTTTTTTGTCCAGCATTCACTCCAAACATTTCTTCCAAATCAAATATTGGAAGCTACATTTTTTTTTTTACTAATCCTGGGGATGAAAAAAGACATATCCCCATTATTTAGCTCTTGCTATCGGAAACTCTTGATGCAGGAGAAGAAGGAGAGTGCAAAAGTTGGCTTGAAACTCAACATTAAGAAAACTAAGATCATGGCATCCGGCCCTCTCAATTCCTGGCAAATAGATGGGGAAGAAATGGAGGGAGTGACAGATTTTATTTTCCTGGGCTCCAAGATCTCCACAGCTGGGGACTGCAGCCAAGACATTAAAAGACACTTTCTCCTGGGGAGGAAAGTATGGCAAATCTAGACAGCCTACTCAAAAGCAGAGACATCACCCTGCCAACAAAAGTGTGTACAGTCAAGACTACGGTTTTCCCAGTTGCATGGCTGTGAAAGTTGGACCATAAGAAAGGCTGAGCACCAAAGAATTGAGGCCTTTAAACTATGGTGCTGGAGAAGACTCCTGTGAGTCCCTTGGACTGCAAGGCGATCCAACCGGTCAGTCCTGGAGGAGATCAACCTTGACTGCTCCTTAGAAGGCCAGATCCCGAAGATGAAACTCAAAGACTTTGGCCAACTCATGAGAAGGAAGGAAGGACTCCCTGTTGAAGAGCCTAATACTGGGAAGTGGAAGGGGATGGCAGAGAACGAGGTGGCTGGATGGAGTCACTGAAGCAGTTGGCATGAGCCTAAATGGACTCTTGGGTGATGGTAGAGGACAGAAAGGTCTGGAGGAACATTGTCCATGAGGTTGCGATGGGTCAGACATGACTTCATGATGAACAACACCATAGGAAACTAGATTAATTCAAAGAGCCTTATGTTTTCCAGGGATGCGTTCTATCGCTAGCTGCCATAGGTCTTCATCTTACTTTATTTACCATCTCTTTCGAAAGAAGAGCATGTAGATGTGTTTGCCAACACTACATGGTTTGGTTCCAAATAATTTATCATTTGAGTACTGAGAGAAGGCTGGGGAAAACTTTGGTTGATTTATTTAAATAGTTAAATGTCTGCTGAAGTGAAACCAAACCTTAAAGAGGTTGCCAAAGATGTTGGATATTCTTTACTCAGCTCTCATTTTACAGATTATATTTTTGGTGCTCAGTCGCTAAATCACAGCCATCTCTTTCTGACCCTCATGGGCCATAGCGCACCAGCTCCCCTGTCTTCCCCTTTCAACTGGTGTTTGCCCAAATTCAAGATCCTTGCGTTGATGAGGCCATCTGACCATCTCATCCCTCGGCCATCTTCTTCCCTTCCATCTTTCCCGACATCAGGGTCTTCTTCAATGAGTCCTCGTCTTCTCATTTGGTGGCCAAATTACTTGAGCTTCAGGTTCAAGATCTGTCCTTCCAAAAGAGAGGCAGGGTTGATTTTCTTGTAGGATCTACTAATTGGATCTCCTTGCCATTTAAGGGACTTTCAAGAGTCTTTTTCCAGCATCAGAATTCAAAGGCATCAATTCTTTGGCACTCAGTCAGAAGGATTTATATGTCTTGCAGACAGCTGGTCATTTGCATCCTTTTTGGAGGGTCATTGAGGCTCCTTGGAGGTTTATCTGTGTCCTCAGGGTCACCTGAGAGGTACAAATGGGTGTGGAGCCTTCTTGGAGCTGCTTAAAGGACTGTATTGTAGACTGGAGATAGATGATGTTGTATCCCTTCCCCTTTGTTGAGAGAGGGCTGTTCAGTTTTGACACAGATGGCATTTTCAACCCCTCTTTGAAACCAGAGGTCCTCTCTGTCCAAAATGTGGACTTTTCTGTCTTCAAAAGGATGGCCTTTATCTTTTAAATGCAGGTGGACTGCTGAATCTTGTCCTGATGGGACATGGGAGAACAAGATTGTTGTGCCATGCATTTCTGAAGTGGTTGTTTTGTTTCCTTAATGTACAGATCTACATATGGCTCACTGCCTTGTACTGCATATACCAGTGGTGGCTAACCTTTTTGGGCTCCTGTGCCAAAAATTGTGCACGCGCTTGCACATTCGCGAGCCAGCACCCAGAAGGCAATGCACCCCCCATGCCCCCTACACATGCACGCGTAATCCGCTCCTACCCACCCCCACTGCCCCCTTACCTGCACTGCACCTCAGAGCTGATTTTCAGCCGGTTTGAGGCCTTTTTCGGCCTCCCAGAGGCTTGAGGAAGGCTTCTGCAGGCTCTGCAGGCCAAAAATTAGCCCCGTTTAGTCACTTCTGGTATTTTCAGAAAAACAGAAAGTGATGAAATGGGCCTGCAGAAGCCTTACTCAAGCTTTTAGGAGGCCGAAAAAGGCCTCAAACCGGCCAAAAATCAGCTGTGAGGCGCACACATGCGCAGTGAGGTAAGTTTGCCTGCAGCTCGTGTGTCGGCACAAATGGCTATGTGTGCCACCTGTGGCAAGCGTGCCATAGGTTCACCATCACGGGCATATACCGTCAACAATACTAAAAGATTATATAGCACTGGGTATAAGTTTCCAAGAGTGGTCTTCTCGAATTGGAGGCACCTCTGAGATTGATGGGATCCCTCTTGGACTTGAGGGTAAGATTTACAACATAGAACTCCTTCCTAATCCAGCTTTGGCAGTTGGATAACTCTGCGACCTCAGTGTCATGCAAGGTCAACTCATCAGCTTTGGCTGATAAACCTTGACATACTTTTCCCCAGTGCACCTCAAATGAGTAACCTTAGAATGAGTAACCTTATGTGTAAATTATTGCGGTGAACTTAAGTGTAAGTGACCCAGAATGCAACACATCATTCATACGAGGCTTCATCGCCCCATACCAAAAAAGCTGCAGTTAGCTTGCAAAGAATTTATTTTCTTTCTCTCCGTTAAATACCATGGTGCCAAACAACAGTCATAATAAAATGGCTAGAAGCAAATATTGATGTTTCTTTCAATGCATTTTTCAGAGCCTGGTGAGGTAGTTCAGTAGAGAATGTCCACAGTCCTCTTTATTTTATCTTTTAGTGTTTTATTTTTTAATATAAACATTCCATCTTCCATTAAACAGTGCGTTGCATGGATGCAAATATCTCTGCAATAACAATCAAAATTTAACGCAGTGTACATTGTATTGGTATTAATTTTCTAATCTTATGATAATAATATTGTATATAGTAAACTGATTCATTTCTCCTTAACCTGTCTTCTAATAAGAATATAATAATATTAAGCATAGGAAACCTAATAGTCATATCAATAAGTCGTCTCTATTTTGACATACTGTCGATATTTCACTGATCTCCTTTTATTTCTAGCTTCCATTTTTCTTCTCTAACCATCGATAAAATAATTCCCATGTCATATAACATTCAGTTTGTTCTTTCTACTTAGTTGCAAGCGTTAATCTATTCATTTCTGCACATCCTTAATATTTTCCTAATCACATTCTCATCAGTAGATATCTCTTCACTTTTCCAATTTTGTGCAAATACAATTCTGGCTCAGGTTAACACATGAATAATTTATTTCCTTTACTATCTTTATTTGCACAGTCCTTTTTATTGAAGGGAATAGTAGTAATAGTAATAGTAATAATAAATAAATGTAATAGAATATATTATGGAATTAAATAGAAAGTTACTCTATAGACATTTGCTCTCTTGAAAAATATATGTTAATCTGCTGTGAACGTATTTCCCTACGCATTTACTCATTGTTAAACAGATGCCTGAAATCAACTGCATTCCTCCTGTATAGTATATGGTATAGTATATGGTATAGTATAGTATATGGTCCTGTTATATAAATCATTCATGAATCCTTCCAAAAATGCCACCCCTATTTCCTCCAGAAATTAGCACATCACTATCTCTATCTCCAACTGTCAAGGCAATTCACACACAATGGTCAATTAGGGAGACAACGGAGAAAAGTTAACACTGCCAGAAAAATATCTATCTGTTGCAGGGAAGATGTAAATCTTAGTTAGATTACATGACTAGAGTTTTACAGATAGATTACATGACTAGAGATTTACAAGGTAATTAGAGAACTAAGAACAAAGACTTTTGCCTGTACAAGAAGGAAAGTTGTCTTGTTTGGCCAGAGGTGGGCGTTGTATAGGTTGTCCCAAATTGGACACATGCCTTCTATTCATCACACTTCCAGTTCAGGAGATATTGGAAGTCCAAGTTCTCAAGAGCTTTGTAGATACTGATCTTGACTTGCACAATCGTGTTTGCCAGCTTTTGTAAACTTTTGTTCTTGTTATCCCAAGTCAATAGCTTTGAGGCTTGGGAAGAGAGGTGTGGTGTGTGTAGAAGAAACCATTTCTAATCTATGTGTGTGTGTGACTGATGATAATATTGCCACTGTCCTTTCTTGTGACAGGTTGTTGAACTCTATATTGCCCGGTTTGGTCACAAAGATCAACAGATCGCCAACTCCCATTGCAGGACTGGTGAGTATCTGTAAGTGAGATCCTTCAGTTGTCGTTTTACTTCCGTGTTGTGTTTTGCCAGAAATGTGTTCTCAGAAGGTAACACAAACACATCTGTTAAACCTGGGTAGCCTCATTGAGAAAATTATCCAATTATTGTTGTCATTTGGCTCGCTTCCTTTGATCTTTTTTTCCGTCCCAAAGGTAGTTTTTTTTTTTTTTGTAACTTGTGATATGACCATCAGGAAACAAAATTCTTAGATATTTCCTTTATGCTTTATAGGTCGCCCTTCACTTAAAGTAGTTCATTTAGTGAATAAACCTAGCTGGGTTTGTGTGAGATATTACAAAATGAATGATAGCTATTGGAATCACACAAAAACTCTAAGCCAAAATAGAATATACTATAATAATATGGCTCATTGCAGTCATGGAATATGCTATAGTAATATGGCTTCTGCAGTCATGGATTACTGAACAAATATTTGGAAGATATAAGACCTGGTCAATTACACATCTGTTTTCTACATTATTATCATTAGGAGTATGGGAATGTAGTTTTATGATGAACAAAATGATTTTCCTGCCATCTCTATATATTTTTCTTTTCCTTTCATTTATTACTCTTAGAATATAAATGTACATTCTAAGATAATTAAAAGCTAAAAAGCTTTATGTCAGGATTCCGGCAGTTACCCCCATTTAAATCATGAGTCTGGAGCCAAACTTCCAAAACTTCAAAAGGATTTATTGGAAGTTAACATGTCCGCCACTGCCTGGGTGTAGCTGACTCTGAGATACATCATTCATTGTCACCCTTGACCCTGATTTTCCCCCCACCCACTGGGTGTATCGTAATTCATATTCTCCAATGGGACACATCCATAGCCAAGCGTCATCAATCGTGCTCACCAGTTAGAATTTTGTACGGCAAAAACTTCAGTCACCTAGTTACTATCTTTGAAAAACTATTTATGGAATGCACTCTCGGTTTCCAAGCTGCCCTCCTGCTCTTTCAAACCCCTTTCCCCTCCTTTATTTGATACTTTATTCCTCATCATTTCTAAATCCAAGGTTACTTAAGTACAGCGGTCCTTGACTTAACAATGGCTCATTTAGTGTCCGTTCAAAGTTACAACAGCCCTGAAAAAAGTGATGTCAGCGTTTTCCACACTTAATGGCCATTGCAACCTCCCCATGGGCATGTGATCAAAATTCGGACACTTGGCAACCAGCTCGTATTTATGACGGGTGCAGAATCCTGACTGGCAAAATCAACGGGGAAACCAGATTTGCTTGACAATGGGGTCACTAACTTATCAACTGCAGCGATTCGCTGAACAACTGCAGCAGGGAAGGTTGTAAAATAGAGCAAGATTCACGCCACAAATTTCTTACTTTAAGAATTTCTCACTTCAGGAATTTCTCACTTCACAAATTTCTCACGTCACAAATTTCTCACGTCACAAATTTCTGACAGAAATTCTGGTCATAAGTTAAGGATAGGTGTGGGCTGCTTCCAGTTCGCACCAGTTCAGGTGAACCGGATGCTAATTTTACATCCGGTTCGCCGAACCGATAGTTCTGACGACATGATTCTGGGGATCATGTGATCTTCTTTTTTTGGTGGGGGGGGGAGACCTGCTGACAAGCAAACTCAATGGGGAAGCCAGATTCCCTTAACAATCTGTCACTAACTGAAACACCCGCAGTGATTCGCTTAACCACTGTGGCAGGGAAGGTTGTAAAATGGGAGAAAATTTAGTTAACCGATGTTTCACTTTGCCAGAGAAATTTTGGGCTCCGTTGCGATCGTAAGAATGAGGACTTAACCTGTACACGATTTCCGAGAAGGGGTACCAGCTCTGATTTCTTCCATTTTGACAGAGGCATTTTGGAACATTTGCTTCTCTTGGCAACCTCTTCCCCATGCCATAAAAGAAAAAGAAAAAGTGGTAAATGTTGTTATGAAATAGGGGCTTGCTCCCATCGATTTTCGGCAGCCTTTTCAAAACGGGTTCCAAATTTCCAAGCTAAAGTGAGATTCTCGGTTTTAATTGAAGTAAATTGCTCATCATCAGAACTCCTGTCCTTATTGTGGTTGTATGTCCAGGACTCTGTATAATAAATATTAGTATAAATGTATATGGAAATTCTCAAATCATCCAGATCATGGCTGTCCTAAAGGTGCCTTTTTTTTTTTCAAGAGGCCACTGGACTTCCTTGGTTTTTCTTGGAAGACATTTCGCTTCTCATCCAAGGAGTTTCTTCAGTGACTAGATTGTGGGGAAGGGAAGGATTTATGCTCCTTGCAGACAGCTGGTCATTTGCATCCTTTTAGAGAGCCGTTGAGGCCGCTTGGAGGTTTATCTGTGTCCTTAGGGTCACCTGAGTGGTGCAAATGGGTGTGGAGCCTTCTTGGAACTGCTGAAAGGACTGTGTTGTAGACTGGAGATATAGAGGATGTCGTGCCCCCCACCCTCTGTGGAGAGAGGGCTGTTCAATTTGGACATAGATGGTCTCTTTGACCCCCTCTTTGAAATCAGAGGTCCTCTCTGTCCAAAAGGTGGACTTTGCTGTCTTCAAAAGAGTGTCCTTTGTCTTTTAAATGCAGATGGAATTAGTCTTGATGTGTTTTGTCATGCCCCTGTTGGAATCTGATTCCGAGGGGGAGGTCGAGCAGCTGACAGAGTGGGAGTGTGGCTCCAGTGGCTGTGGAGGAAACTGGGGAAGGGCACAGTCCAGCTGGGCATTCAGAGGAAGACCCAGGCCCATCTCTTCATCCTAGGGCACGCAGGGAGGAATGGAGAACGGAGCAACGTGAGTTGCGTGGTTTACGGGGGAGGAAAGGGCTCTGATTCCCTTCATTAGCTGTAGCTGGGAAAAGAGGATTTAAAAAGGGCGTTTGCGCACAGCACCTTGCTGGAAGCAAAGTATGCATTATCTTTGTTTGTCAAGTCTTATCTGGGTTCTGGCATCTTCCCAACTGTGTGTGCCTTGTTATCTTTTGAAGTCTGCAATTCCTTTTCCTGCCCTGTCTTGTTAATTGCTGCAGCGTGGTCTGTGTTGGTTTTTATTTATAGTTTATATGTACTTTGGGGTCGTACTGAATTTCTTCCCTTTAAAAACTGTTCTTGGGAGAGTTTTTTTTCTCCAGCCAATGATAACTGGACATTGGGGGCCAAGTTGGAGGTATTAAAGGGACTTTACCTACTTTTGTGACTTTGTTGCTTTTGTACCATGCCCTGGGTCATCACATGTTTGTTCTTCCATGTTGTGCCATGCGTTTGTGAAGTGGTTGTTTTGTTTCCTCAATGTACAGATCTGCATATATCTCACTGCTTTGTACTGCATATGCCATGTTGCTCAGTTTGTCTCTGGGTATTTTATCCTTGGGGTGGACAAGATTCTACCTCAATGTAGTATTCTTGGGTTTGAAGTGTGCGCGTATGTTGTGTTGGCTTTATTTTTTTAGCGTTAAAGTTAACTGTGAAATGGACAAAGAGGGCGAAGATGGAACTAAAACACATGGGGGCGGGGGGCGCGTGGAGGCAGAATTTGAACTTATTCAAAAATAGTCACAGCTGAGAAAGTTCTGAATTGAAATCTAACTCTGTGGCAAAAGCAACCACTTTTGCTCAAACTTTGAAGTCCGGAGAGACGTGGTTGACACAGAATGATTTATTTGTCTTTGGCAGGGTATTTTTGTTTTTGTTTTAATTCCCCACTTTGAAATAGTTTCCGGAGAAAAGGAATTTCTTGTTGTTTGGGGCTTATATTTTCTTTGACGGGTCGAGAGACATTTACGGCATGACTTCAGTTCCTTACACTATTCCGATGGGAATTGAGACATTTATAGCCCAGGGTGTAGTAAGGGAGTAGGACTAATGGTCAGGAATAATAGTAGGAAATAGCAGAGGCGAAACTGAAGGGCTGAACTGTATGTCCCTTGGCTCCTGTCTCAGTTTGGCTCTGGATTAACATTCCCAATAAGTGGCTAAATATTGGTTTATGCCTTTGAAAATATTTGGGGCCTACAAAGAAAGTCCAGCCTTTGGACAAAGCCGGGAGTCTTCTCCCAGTTCCCACTGCCACTTTCAAAGAGAACCTCAGAAAGTGTTAATAATAAAGACAGATCCCGTAAATCATAGATGTATTAAATTGCTTATTTCTGAGCTTTGATTTGGTAGAAGGAGATGTGGAAATTTGGTGGAGGGGAAAAAATGTGATGGAAATACCTACCGGTGTTTCCCTGAAAAGAAGAGCCTGTCTTATAATTTTTTTGCCACAAAAAAAGGCACCAGATCTTATTTTAGGGGGATGTCTTCCACTGACTAACCTCTGGAGTGGGCAGGATCTTAATTAGGGCTTATTTTTTGGGGGTAGGGCTTATATTGGGTGCATCTGTAAAAATCAAACTAGGACTTACTTTCAGGGTAGGTCATATTTTCAGGGAAACAAGGCAACAGCTACTCATCTTTTTGGTCATCGTGCTGCATTTGGGGTGTCCTTGGTGCTTTCCGATGTTGCAACGGTCGTAAGTGTGAAAAAAGAACAGCTCTAAGTTCGTGTTTTGGATTTATTACAGCAACGGACTTATTTGGACAAAGCTACAGCACTTTGGTCACTAAACAAATTGTAAGTCGAGAAGTACTTGTGTAATCAGAGCTCTTGGGCAGTGTTGTGTGTTGTGTTGTGTCATGTTGTGTTTTGTGTTTGTGTGTGTCTGTGTGTGTGTGTGTTCAAGATTACACCAGGCAATGAATTGGTTAAATCGCTTTCCAAGAGCGGAATGTTACAGGGGGAAAAGCTTGAAAATTGCATTTTGTAATGGATCACAATTACACAACTGGCATTTTTTTTTTCCTGAAGAATTTGTATGGGTGTAGACATTGGCACTTAATCAGGATTTCCATTTTTGTTTTGGAAAGAATGTTATGCCGGCCTAAAGCAGATTACTTTAGGCATATTTGGGACAGTCATTGTTCTGCTAATGAATAACAATTTAGTTCAGTTTTTGC